ACAAGGTACATACTGACATATGTAAGTCGAATAAAGTTATTCTTCCTACAAATCGTTCTTCACAGTATACTTCAAGATTTCCTTTTTCGCCATGAAATCCTACGCCCCTTGATTCCAAAGTCGCAAAACACGCTCTCATCGGAAAAAAACTTTTCTGCCAAAACTCGCGAGCTTTAGGTGCTATTTTGCGACAGCATTATGCATTCACCTAATGACTCGCGATGTGAATGAGTTCTTGTGCGCGACTTGACCATAAAACCCTGTTTTATTTTTTAATTTTGCGAATAATGGCAGTGCAGAGGGCTTTCTTAAAAATTTTCTTAACATTTGGATCAAATTTTGATGCAGTAAATCGAAGGTTTTGCTTCACACTTTACGAAGCGTTACGAGTTTCACGCTAAGCTAGTAGTTTTGGCCTTGGCCTTGGACGCGCCGATATACAGAAACGCCAGTATGTTTGTAATTTTTATACTCTCGGTTTGTTCACCTAACGGCTGTTTGAATCACCTAACCTTATCGAGTTAAATATAGGGTTATATATGCATATATAAATGATCAGAGGCATCTGCAGTTTAAATTTTTTTTAAAGTGGGCGTGGTCCCGCCCCTAATAGGGTTAATGTGCATATCTCCTAAACCGCTCAAGCTATAATAACAAAATTCACTGAAAACAAATGTTCTTAGCACTTCTATTGACAGTGTGAAAATGGGTGAAATCGGGTAAAAACCCCGCCCACTCCACATATAACGGTACTGTTAAAAACAACTAAAAGCGCGATAAATCCATCACTAAATACGCCAGAGACATTAAATTGTATCCCTGGGTATGATAACTGTATAGGAACCACGTTCATATCGCGGATGACTTTATACCGCATATATCGGCCAATATGTGAGTTATATCAATGAAAATGAGAGCGTGTTTTACTCATAACAAGGCATCTTTGTACCTAAAATGGATGGTAAGATTGCAGGCCAAATTACTCTTTTTTGTAAAATTCTCTATAAAACTATGGTGTCAGATTTTCATTGCTCGAAATGCAGTGGGGTTATGCAATAGACTAGTACTAAAGCACTCAATATGAGTATGCTCTAAAATTTAGTACATAAAAGATGTTTATTAACAAAAGAAAATAAGACATAAGCGTGTACGCAGACTTTTTCTGCTTATATGTAAGTATATACATGATCAGTGATGAAACGAGTTAAAATCCGAGTGACTGTCTGTTTGTCTGTCTTGCAAGCGATAACTTGAGTAAAAATTGAGCCACAAATTAAGATACAAAACAAAAGAATGTTCTCGCTTAATATTATTCAGATATATGCGATATCAACTAAAAAAAGAGAAACAAAATTTAGTATTTTGGGTTATAAGAGTATAAGGGAAAGTCAACCAGAGTAACGTAAATAGTTATATTAGTCTTATGGGGCTACAGCAAGGCCTAAACCAATATCATTTATATTCATAGCTATAATTTATTATGGGTAATAAAATAGCTGCGTCTATTTTATTTCGTTTAAATATCACACATATTTACCTATATATACGGTATAAAGTCAATCGGAAAGTCGAAAATCACTTTATTGATTATATTGTGACCAGAAGAAGTTCGAATCAGAGAATTATTGCATTTTCTTTTAGCATTCAACTAAAATATGCTCGAGAACCTATCTCCACCCAATCTTATAAAGATAACTCACACATTGACTGTTGTAACGGCATACATATATACGGTATGCAGTCAACCGGAAGTTTGAAAAACTTTATATTAGGGAAAGTATTTAACCGAATTTATCCATTTTTAGCACCAAAACACCGGAAAAGATGTCCTCTTTTTGTCGCACAACCCACTTTATCATACAATACTCTTAATGTTTCCTTATAAGATTATAAAAAATAAACATTTAAAGCTTTTTATTAAAAAAAATTGTGATAGTAGTATTCAATTCTGATCTGATTCTTCTATTCTCAATATTAAATTTGCTGAGTTTAATAATTTCACACTTTATACACTCGTATATGCATATACATATGTATGTATGTAGTTTGAGTTTGTGTATAGTTCGATATAAACAATTAAGTGGTTATGCGTTTCAAAAATGCACTTGAAACTTAAGTATCCTCAAAGTTGAAATTGCGTTTGAAAAACCTCTCGTTAATAGTACAAAGTATTGTAGGTATTATCAAGTACCATAATGCTTTCTTCGCATTATTCCATTCAGATAACTTTATACCTTTCGACCAGTGTAGCCAGATAGTATGTTAACATACAGGAAAGAAAATCATCAACAATAAAATTTATTAATGAGTTAAGTTTAGTTATAATTTTATAATTTTTGGCTAGCCACAGCTCTACTAGATCGGCTTCGGCAGCCTCAATCCACATAACTCGGTTTTTTATACTCTTGCATCATGTTGCTACAGAGTATAATAATTTCGTTCACCTAACGGTTGTTTGTATCACCTAAAAATAATCGAGTTAGATATAGGATTACATACACTAGACAGAAACAGTCTGCGTACAAGGTACCAACAAAAATAAATCGTTGGAAAAATAATTTTGTATACTTTTTATAAAACCAATTTATTTGATACTCATTTAAGGATACTAAATATATAGTTTTATGAAAATAAAAGTGATTAAATTTCTGACAATAACATATAAACAAAGCAAAACAAAAGTCTGCGTACAGGGTACATAAGTCGAGCAAAGATATATGTATGTATACATTGCCAATATTTTTATACTCTCGCAACCTGTTGCTACAGAGTATAATAGTTTTGTTCACCTAACGGTTGTTTGTATCACCTAAAACTAATCGAGTTAGATATAGGGTTATATATATATAAATGATCAGGATGAAGAGACGAGTTGAAATCCGGGTGACTGTCTGTCCGTCTGTCCGTCCGTCTGTCCGTCTGTCCGTCCGTCCGTGCAAGCTCTAACTTGAGTAAAAATTGAGATATCTTTATGAAACTTGGGAGACATGTTTCATGGTACCGTGAGACGGTTGGTATTGCAGATGGGCGTGTTCGGACCACTGCCACGCCCACAAAACGCCATTAATCAAAAACAAATAACTTGCCATAACTAAGCTACGCAATAAGATACAAGACTGTTATTTGGTACACAGGATCACATTAGGGAGGGGCATCTGCAGTTAAAATTTTTTTTTTTAAAAGTGGGCGTGGTCCCGCCTCTAATAGGTTTAATGTGCATATCTCCTAAACCGCTAATGCTATAATATAATATATAATAATAACAATCGGGTAGCAACTCCGCCCACTCCCCATATAACGGTACTGTTAAAAACTACTAAAAGCGCGATAAATCAAGCACTAAACACGCCAGAGTCATTAAATTTTATCTCTGGGATGGTATGAGATGACTTTATAGGAACCGCGTTCAAAATTAGACAGTGGGCGTGGCACAGCCCACTTTTAGGTGAAAACCCATATCTTGAGATCTGCTTAACCGATTTCAACCAAATTCGGTGCATAACGTTCTTTTCATGTTTCTATGTCACAGTGCGAAAATGGGCGAAATCGGACTACAACCACGCCTACTTTCCATATAACAACATTTTAAATTCCATCTGATTATTTCACTTTCCACTATGCAAATCAGGCAACAATGACTGTATCGGGATAAAACTTTGCGTGAATAATGCGATTAAAGTATGCCACCTTGTGGCCAAAAATTGTCTAAATCGAACCAAAACTGTTTAAGCCCCTAAGTACTAAATATGTGGACCCCAGTGCCTATAGTTGACCTTCTACCGAAAATATCAGCCAATCCACAAAGAAATCTCAAACGAGTATACTATTTGACTTTGCGAGAGTATAAAATGTTCGGTTACATCCGAACTTAGCCCTTCCTTACTTGTTTAATATAAAGTTTGCCAGGACCTGAAAGAATTACCCGGTCTTTAATTCCTGCAAGTTGCAAGAGTATAAAATGTTCGGTTACACCCGAACTTAGAGCTTCCTTTTTGGTTTAATATAAATTTTTCCTAAAACCTGAATCTAATTTCCCTTTTTTGATTCTTGCAAGTTGCAAGAGATTCGGATACACCCGAGCTTAGTCCTTACTTACTTGTTTACATAGTATGTACATATGTATCGACCGATAGATGCGGAATAAAGTCAACCGAAAATATTTATACTAGGTATATGGGGGCTAAGGAAAGTATTTCCCGATTTATAAGTTTATAGTTTTGTTTCTGAATTTGGCGCTTAGTTATGGCCTTTTATAAGTATGTTTTTTATTAAAGATATTTTGTGGCCGTGGCAATATTCCGAAACACTTGTACCAAGTCTCATCAAGATATATCTTGTATTCAAGATATCGCTTCCACCGTCAGACAGACGAACAGACAGTCACCTCGTCCTGCCATCCTCACATTTATATACTTATGTACATACATACATATGTAGTTTCAAATAACCGTTGATTGAACAATACTTTTATATTCTGTTGCAACATGTTGCGAGGGTATACAAATATTTAGTTTCAAAGTTTATAAAAAAGTGGTCGTACGATTGAGTCAAGAAAAAGTCAGAAGTTATTGTTAAAATGAGAGGATATTTTCGGGGCAAAAATATCATTGACCTGCAACGGCCTATCAACCTTTCCACTATTGTGTTGCCTATTAAGAGAAGGGAGGCATATGTACATACATATGTATGTATACCAGTAGTTTCAATTATATGCTCAACAGAGGTAGATTACATTTTGTCACTCAGCCGTCAATCTAGAGGCAGTAGCTTTCAGGAGTCGATAACGCATCCTGACTTAGTACGTGTATCTTTGTGGTACGAGATTGTGTGTTATGTTTCTAACACTACACAAAAAATACTACTTAATTCGCCTTTTTTGTTGGTGATCACTGGAAAGTAACTATTGAATTCCTTTTGTATTTAAATGCATCGTTGGTTTGACGTTGAGATACTTATGTAAGTATGTATGTATACGTCCAATCTTTAAATGAAATACTTAGTTTAGGTTCTATATGTAGCGCCAGGATTTGAAGGAATCGAATTTTAATTGATGTAAAAGTAGGGGTTTGGGGAAATCCGATACAATTATATTTTTGTTTATATTATAATGTACATAAGTACATGTATTTATTCAAATACATATTCGTGCAAAGTAAATATATATGTACATATTATTCAAAAAATGTTTTTGGGTTACAAGTCTTTTTACTTTTAGACCTTAAAAACTTACATCACAGTCTAATTATTAATACGTATGTATATTTACTTTAAGTACAGATATGGCATTTTGAACTCATATTTAAAAGTTTCGACAAATATATTTGGTGCCGATATTCATTTCTACAGTCTATCACTCTTTGGCGTTTTCACCGTCTTCGTCTACTTTACTTAATTTCAAGAATACTTCATTAAGTTCCTGTTCGGAACGGTATATTCCCGACGCCTCCTCCATCGCTATTTGTGACTGCCGCCGTGCAATTTCCGCATTGCTTACCTTCCGTCCAGTACGGAAGTAGTTCTCAATCTCCAGTAATGTACGACCTCTCGTCTCAGGCACAATGAAATAAATAAATGCCACACCCAATAAAGATATCGCACTGAAAAAGGCGAAACAATTGGCAGTGCCAATCCAAGCTTCCGCGGTGGGATATAGTTTCACCACGCTGAAGGAGAACAGAAGTCCAACACACAATGTGAATCCATTAGCGCTGCCACGTACACGTTGTGGAAATACCTCTGATATCATGAAGAATGGCAGGGTTAGCAGTCCCATTGTGGAGAAGATTATGTGTAGCACAATGGCGAAGACAGACAATAATGGCACATGTTCTCCGATAACTGGCCACCAACCATTAGCCGCAAGCAATGTCATGCAAATAGTCATTCCGGTCGCTGAAATTATACCCGCTGGGCGACGTCCCCATTTTTCGAAAATCATGCCCATGAAGAATGTGGTAATTATACGTGCCACACCAACGAACACAGCCACCAGCAGCGGATCGGCAGAGACACCAGCGCGTGTAGCGATTTGTGCTGCAAATACAATCACAACAACAATGCCAGAGTACTGTTGAAAGAAAAAGAAGCCGATCATCATGAGCAGAGGTTTGTAGACCTCCGGTGAACGTATGGCCTGTAAAAGCGACTCATTGGCAGCGGCTGTCCGACTGATGTCTGAATTCTTTTTGATGAGCGCCAATTCCGTTTCGAATTCCTCGTAAATGTTGTTATCTGATTTAAGTAAGAAATTAAATCGGACAATAATCGGAATATTTCAATGTTTGAAACTGACCATTTTTCGAGAGACCCCGAAAATACTTGAGCGACTTGCGAGCACGCTCCTCATAGCCCTTTTGTAGCAGCCAACTTGGGGATTCAGGCATGGGCAGGCAACAGCAGAACGCCAAGCATTGGTAAACGACGGATATAATGGAGATCAGCTTAAAGTTGTTCTGTAACATAACAAATGTTACGGTACTCGTACTTGTATAATTCCATTTATAATTAATTATTTAAATTATATATGCACATTCTACGAGTATGTACTTAATACTCACCCGTATAAAATAACCCAACAAATACATTAACAATATACCGCTGGCTATTGCTATCGATGTACCCATAATCAGACGACCTCTTATCCGTGGTAAGCTGATTTCCGCAGCATACGAACCAATCGGGGACAGTGATAAACCAATCATAAGACCTACATGTATATTTACATCATTGATAATATAATTTGTTAGGTCTTTACATAATGTCCATTTACACTTATTACACATTACACTATTTCAATAATTTACCACATAAGAATCTGCCAATGAGTAACTGTATATAAATGGCATCACGTGTGCTTTGGTGGGGGGCAGTGACAAGCAGCAACAATCCGATAATACCAACGAAATTCGTGCATAACATCGTGTTTCTACGACCGATTCGATCCATGAGATAACCTACTAATAAGCCTCCCAGTGGACAGGCCATGCTATTGATAGAAGCTAAAATCGTCGAGAAAGATAACGCAACAGTTAGAAATTAATAAAAATTTGCAACAACAACACATGATATTTTTATAAATTTTTAGAAAAAAAGTCCTTGCTTTTTCTAAGCTCCAAGACAAATATAATTCCTGGACTCATACCGTTACTGCTCATAATCATTCCCGGATTCTTTTTTACTCCGTTTTAGACAAGGGTGTATTTTTTAGTTTTCATATAAATATTTATACCTATTTTGCAGTAAATAATTACACAACTAGGATTTTGGGGAGCTGTTCTTAAAAGTTATTATTTGATCTTAGGTCATTATTATTGCATTGAATTTGCGACTGTTACGAATTACCTGTCTACCAAAAACTCACGAACGACTAACACTAAAAAAGGAAAATTAAAAAATATTTCAAATAAAGGAAACCTACAACGTGGTTACGAAACTGAAGAGACGCCATTTATGAGGAGAGCTATAACTTGGATCAGGATCACATTAGGGAGAAGCATCTGCTAACTAAAATATTTTTAAAAAGTGTACGTGGTCTCGCCACCTAATAGGTTTAATGTGGTATCTCCTAAACCACTAAAGCTATGATAACCAAATTTACTGAGAATACATGTTTTTAGCACCTCTATCGACATTGCGAAAATGGGTGAAATCGAGTGACAACCCCGCCCACTCCCCGGTACTGTTTAAAGCTACTAAAAGAGCGATAAATCAAGCACTAAACACCCCAGAGACATTAAATTCTATCTCTGGGATAGTATTAGATGACTTTAAAGTAATCGCGTTCAAAATTAGACAGTGGGCATGGCCTCGCCCACTTTTAGGTGAAACCCATATCTTGGGATCTGCTTAACCGATTTCAACCAAATTCGGTACATAATATTCTTCTCATATTTCTATATTATAGTGCGAAAATGGGCGAAATCGAATCACTATGCAAATTAAGCAATAATGATGTAAATCGAACCAAAACTGTTCAAGCCCCTAGGTACTGGATATGTGGACAAATTCGCAGAGCATCCTTTAATGATAATAGTATGTAAGTGCAAGAAGCGATTTTGGTTTTTGTCGATATGTATGTACCATAGGTGTTGATGCTTGATGTAAGCAATTTTATTTTGCGTGTTTATTTGATTTACTATTTTGACGATTTGTTATTATAGTAAAGGTCTACGCGTCTTTGTGTATATTATTTTAATTGGCGGTTATTTTAAATATATTTATTATGGTTTAGTAGGGACACCGACTCCACGCCTAGCTCAGATATGGCCAGAATGGGTGCTCCTTTGAAAACATACCCGGGGATTAGAGCTGTGAAATCGGAGGGATCTTGCGAACGATGTTTGGCCGCGAATTGAGAACGTCTTCATTTCGAGTTAGTAAAATGAAAAATTCGTCATAGTTAGATTTGTAAGCTACTTTTTTTTGGCATGGGATTTGAAGCTTTTACAACTTATTCCCATAAACCACCCATATAAGGAGCGCTTATATAGTAGCGATAAGTGAGAGTGGATCGCAGGAGGTCGGGGGATCTTCTCGCCTTGAATAAAGTTCACCTGTCACTGTCCAATGGGAACTCATGTGGTGCGGCTTAGAATACTACCCGATGGTAGTTGTCAAAGCCGTATGGAGTAAGGTGAAGTGGAAACATCCCGGCACTTTCTCCTCCACTGGCCGGCTTTTGCTAGCTTGCGCTTGAAACATCTCGGCAATCTCACTTTTGGCGGACCAGAAGAATTGGCCGAAACAGATATTGGCCGTCTCAACAAGTTTGTCATAGGCACAAAGCGCTTTGTCGACATGTAAGGGTCTATTGATCCGGCTCATAGGAGTTTTGGGTACCACAACGGACCGGCGTTTAAGGTGTCCAAGTGTGATTCTTCTTAGGATCGACCCTCTTACCTAACCTAAGCTTTTTGTATCGTTATTGGCAAGCGCCATCCTGCGGAGTCGAAAAGTTACATACTTGCGACTTTAAAACTGATCTTGTCAGAAGGAACTCTGACTTGGTTTTTTCCTCCAATTCATGGAGTGTTGGAACATTGTGAATTTAGTGGTAGTCGTACGACGTACCGACCATTATCTGATCGAGTAGTTGTTTCTTTGTAGAAGTATTCACAGTAGTGATCTTCTTGGATTGTAACTGATGTGCGGGAGAGTTCTTTTAACTCCCAACATTTACTGAGTTGCGATATTATGTGTTCTTTTAATTTTTTGTTAACTTAAGTTGTTGATGTGGAAACTGGTGCTGCAACTAGTCCACTTATAATCCAACCGAATGAAGCGTTTTGGGCAGAGGAGGGTGGATGAAATTTATTCAATACCTTTAAGTATTATTTGCGGTATAAGGTCGCTGCCAATATTTATTTGAGCGGGGGTGTTGCAGTTGAGATCTGCTAGCTTTAGGTGTGAAACCTTTTGCCAATGCTTGCTATTTATCGGTACAAAATAAAACCTAGGAAGTAAACATAGTTTGCAAGTTAGGTAGAAAGTATAACCTAGGTAAAAAAAACCTCTTCAATGCACCTTTTGTAATTAACGCCTTAATATTTCTACGAAAGTTGCTTGATGACACCAAAAAGGGCAAACGTGTTTACAGACGTGAATTCGGGCTCTAAGATATTCAATAAATAGGGCGCAACACATCGGGTAATTTCAGTTTACGCGAGCAGCTTAAACTTTAAACCACGGAAACAACTTTGAAAATCAACGAAAAAAATCCTTATATAAATAATTCGCATTGTTTAAATTATATTATTATTACTTAATTTATTAATATTTTAGTATATTTTATATTTCTATAATATTTTTTTCATAATTTTTGAAAATGACAAGAGTATCTAGGCAATCGCTAGAACAAAGACGTCGCAATGCTCTGAATAGATGCCGACGACAGTATAGTCAAAATTTGGAAAGTAATAGACAAAGGAACGCTGACTATATTGCAGAACCAAGCAGCTCAAATTTGGAGTATCGCAATGAGGAAAGAACCCGTGACAGTTTTGCACACAGTAGGACATTCGAACAGGCGATTGAATCCGGAATATAGAGTAGAGGAGCAGGAGGGAGACACAGTAGGAGATTCGAACAGACGAATGAATCCGGAATACAGAATAGCGGAGCAGGAGCGCGACACCACGGAACTCTCCTGAATATAGGACAGCGGAGCAGGAGCGCGACACAACAGAACATTCAAACAGAGTACAGAGTAGCGGAGCAGGAGTGAGACATAGTAGGACATTCAAACAGCCGCTTGAATCCGGAATATAGAGCTGAAGAGCAGGTACGCAACACCACGGAACACTCCTGAATATAGGACAGCGGAGCAGGAGCGCGATACAGTAGGACATTCGAACAGGCGCTTGAATCCGGAATATAGAGCTGAAGAGCAGGAACGTAACACCGTAGAACACTCAAACAGAGGAATGAATCCCGAATACAGAGCAGCGGAGCTATTCAAACAGGCGCTTGAATCCGGAATATAGGGCTGAAGAGCAGGAACGCAACACCGCAGAACACTCAATGAACACGAACACAACAACTTTTGCAATACATGCTATCGGATTCTTAGGAAAGGATTGGAGTTTCCGGATATTTCGGAATGTCTTCAGGATTTAACGTGTCTGGAGGAAAGACTGATATCTCCGAGGATCCCATTTATGCGCATCATCTCCCTAGGATATGAACGACAATGTGCTATTCGTGGAGCAGTGGTGAATATTCCGATTTCTGTTGTAGATACAGCCACCATATTATTTAAGTGCACTTGAAATGTCGATTGGAATATGAGCAAAATTTATGACGGAGACAGGGCGACCAGCAAAGAAATTGGAAGTAGCTGCTGGGTACAGAGCTCTACGTCAAGCATAATATACAAATGTCAAGTGATTGGCTAGCAAATGTTGGAAACGAGAAAACTGTGCCATTTATTGCGGATCCTGCAGATCACGCAGAAGTAAGAGACCTGCTAAATGCCCGTCAGGAAAATGTACCGCTTGAAATGGAAGAAGAATTAAATTTGAGGGATGAAAATTTTGTCAGCAACCTTATCCAGCATGATGATGAGCTCTGAAAAGGTGAGGCTGATAAGGACAGATCCAGTTACATGTTCCAGGTATTTCGAGAATCAATTCCGCGAAATGCTAAAATTATTACAAAATTGATGGTTTGGAGAGCATTTAGTAGTCCGTTACTATTACAGAATTGAATTCCAGCATAGGGGATCACCACATTGTCATGGCATGTACTGGCTAAGTAACGCACCACAATTAAAAAGTGATGGAATCATCAATACAAATGAAGTTGAAACATTCATCGACCGACACATCATAACCGATGGGGATGATTTGGACTTACTGGAATTCATTCAGTATCAAAAACACAGACATGGTCGAGCTTGCCTAAGAGACCTACATGGAAAGCAAGTGTGCCGATTATAATCTAATAGAGGAGTATCAACACTACTGAGACAAGCCATGGAGGAAATAAATGCAGGAAATTTCTCCATTAAAAGAAAATTGCAGCACATCGGAAACAAATTTGTAAATGGATCGGAAATATCGGCTCAAGAAGCAGCTTATAATATTTTGGGACTGCATCTATGCCAGTAGTGGGGAAATATTTATAAATACATCACATCCAAACAACCGAGTAAGGATGATAAAGCCCAGACATGAATTGAATGCTTTACAGGAGGACTCTACGGATATATATGTGCCGAGTGTGCTGAAGCACTACTCTCACAGGCCCGATCAATTGGAAGAACTATGCTTAGCAGATTTTGCAGCATGGTTCAAATTTTGCAAAACAAGCAGAATAGTTTCTGATAATAACGAAGACTACAACGAAGTAGAAAACGAGGATGCCACGATATCTGCCCTTCCAATGGCATTAGAAGATGGATCAGGATTTTTAAGGAAAAGGAAGCAAGCCCTCAGTTTTCGCTGGAAACGTTTTAGCGTTGAAACTTCAAGAGCCGATTTCTTCAGAGAAACCGCCATGATGTTTCACCCATGGAGAAATGAGGAAACAGACGAATCGAGAGTGCAAATTGAGCAGAGTAAACTCAAATATGACAAATTTTCATCGAACAATATTGAAAGGATTTTCGAAAACCTTCATGTTACAGCTGATGATCGAACTCCCTCACAACTTTTAGATCCCGAATTCAGAACTCTAGCCGTTCCAGAGCAAACAGGAGACATTAATGTTTTCCAAGAGCACAACAATACAGAGGAAGAGGCGGTTCGATTAATTACACTCCCACCTTTAATATTAGAAGACGGTTTACTGGCAATGGTGCAGTCACTTAACAACAAACAGAGGGAATACTTTGCTCATGTAATGCACAATGTCAGTAAAAAGGAAATTATCTTCGAATATGTCGGAGGCGGTGCTGGAGTGAGCAAGAGTCGGCTTATAACGACTATATATCAGTCGTTGACATTGCGAGCTAATAGTGCACCAGGAACCAACCCCGAAACAGTCAAGGTGTCACTCTGCGCACCCACTGGCAAAGCAGCATTTGGAATTGGAGGCCTAACCCTACTTCGCGTTTTTCACTCCCCCTCAACCAGTCTTCCGGAGATCTTCGGCCACTGAATAGCGGCACATTAAACACTATTCATGCCAATCTCATAGATATTAGGCTTATTATAATTGACGCAATTTCAATAGTTGGAGCAAAGATGTTTGCATATTTAGATTCTAGGTTAAAGCAAATTTTCAGGAGCAGCGCTGACTTTAGGGGTATATAAGGATATGAAGGCTACAATGTTATTGCTCGCCTTGATGGAGACCAACGACGACCTGCCAAAATATATTATAATATACTACAAGCAAGATAGGTGCCCAGGTCTATCAGAAGGATCATTTTTAAGGAACGACACCGGTTCAACAAACGTTTACCAACTGTTAAACGTAAAAAATTCAACAGTTTCCATATCACTTGTGTACAGGAACCCCCGCTATAGACTTCCGGAATTTAGAAACCAAGTAGAAAATAATATCCGTCAGATAACTGAACAGTGTAATGGACCGTCAGTAGTCCTTGGTAACTTTAACATATGTCGCCTAACAGCAACTGACGATTTGGAGGCTCCATTACAACAGTTAGGATTTCAATCTTAATTGGCTAAGGTCGCCACAACAAAACAAGAAACAGCAATAGATTGGGTATGGACAAACATGGATCCTGCAATGACATCATGTATCACATATGAAACACCGGAATATTTTTAAGCTTTAGAAAATAGATATATTATATATGTATGTAGATATACTTATGTTAGATTCAATGTTATTAAATATAAGTTTGTATTATAATATAAAGTGTAAGTCATAGATACCATTATTGTAACTTACATATTATATAAAAAAGTATTATAGAGTAATAAATATTATTATATGTTATATATTTTTTATTTTCTATAAATATAACAACTTGTTTTTTTATTTTAATTTAGTATGATTACTAGCATTAATTCGAATAGAAGATTTTTTATATCAAACAACCTGGTTAGAAAGAAAATGTTTTCCGTTGGATGCATACCGTTGGCCGGTTACGTTTTCAAGTGTAGTCATACATATAGTAGTTACTAAAAGAAATGCACCTGTGAAGGGTATTATAGCTTTGGCGCAGCCGAAGTTAACGTTTTTTCTTGTTTTTAGTATCATTCATTATTTATTTTTCTTTGAAAAGATGTACAACTACAATTGTATGTGTTTTAATATGTATGTACGTATATTGTTCAAACTAATAACTTTTAACTTTAACAGCGCTTTTTGTATTTTTGATTTTAATAAATTATTTATTATTTTTTTTAAATTTCTAGTAGTGTTAATTTTACTTAACGTATTAAATTTTATTTGAAATTTTAAAGTCTAATTGACCTAATGTATATACCCTACATAGGCATAGGCATAGATTCTATGTCGTATGTATAAATATGTATGTACGCACTACAAAGAGAGCGCGAAAGAGAAGTGAATCCCGTGCAGGCAATTTCCCTTATGCACGTATATTTATGTACAAGTATGTAATTATTTATTATATGTTTATGTATCCTTTGTTATGTAAATATTATATATTTTTGTCTATGTTAATATTATATAATAGGCAAGCGAATATGTATGCTTGTTTTTGTTTTCTTTAGATTATAGTTGTGTTATTTATTTTGCCTTTTACTTATTTTTAAGCAATCTTGCTTACTTTTTTGTGTTTGTAGAAAAGTGTGTTTATAAACACAAAGGTAAGCATATATGTATGTAAAGGCATTCGATAATTATTTATTTTTAATTGGATATACATATATTGTACCAAACTGTTTTCGGGTGTTCCTTTAAATTAAACTCACAAGTATGACAGTTTGGTAACCGTTTTTTGTTGTTTTGTATTGAGTAAAACTGTATCTATGCATACATATTTACATATATTAATTAAAAGGTGAAATGAATGCGCTCACTCTGTTTTCCTTTAAGGGTTTTTGGGAATAATGTGTCTGTATATATGTATGGTATTCGTGTGTGGTAATATTCATGTGATCCTCTCCGAAATGCTTTCAGCTTTATGTTTTTTAAATTCACGCCCGATTGCGTTGTTTTTTGTTTGTCCAAAATGATTTGCAAATTTTGCACTGTGTATTTATGTAAATATGTTTGTTTATTTGTGTCTATTTATATGTTTACATTTGTTTGCTTTATTTGTGTTTTAACTATTTTAAGCTATTGCCACCTGTTTTTTTTGGTATTATTGCATGTGAGTTTTCTGTATGTAAATATGTAGATATGACTGTATACATATATGTATATATATATTGCCACTGCATTTCTTTGCTTCGTCACCACTTTGTATATTTCTATATATGTATGTTATTATGTATTTTTATACTCTCGCAACCTTTTGCTACAGAGTATAATAGTTTTGTTCACCTAACGGTTGTTTGTATCACCTAAAACTAATTGAGTTAGATATAAGGTTATATATATAGGTATAAATGATCAGGATGAAGAGACGAGTTGAAATCCGGGTGACTGTCTGTCCGTCCGTCCGTCCGTGCAAGCTCTAACTTGAGTAAAAATTGAGATATCTTTATGAAACTTGGTAGACATGTTTCTTGGTACAGTAAGACGGTTTGTATTGCAGATGGGCGTAATCGGAATACTGCCACGCCCACAAAATGCCATTAATCAAAAACAAATAAATTGCCATAATTAAGCTATTTGGGACACAGGATCACATTAGAGAGGGGCATCTGCAGTTACAATTTTTTTTTAAAGTGGGCGTGATCCCGCCCCTAATAGCTTTAATGTGCATATCTCCTAAACCGCTAATGATATAATATAATAACAAAATTCACTGGAAGGAAATGTTTTTAGAACCTCTACCTACAGTGTGAAAATAGTTAAAATCGCAACTCCGCCCACTCCCCATATAACGGTACTGGTAAAAACTACTAAAAGCACGATAAATCAAGCGCTAAACACGCCAGAGGCATTAAATTTTATCTATGGAATGGTGTGAGATGACTTTATAGAAACCGCGTTCAAAATTCGATAGTGGGCGTGGCACCGCCCACTTTTAGGTGAAAACCCATATCTTCTGAACCATATCTGCTTGACCGATTTCAACCAAATTCGGTGCATAACGTTATTTTCATATTTCTATGTTATAGTGCGAAAATTTGCGAAATCGGACTACAACCACGCATATTTCCCATATAACACCATTTTCAATTCCATCTGATTCTTTCATTTTCCGCTATGCAAATCAAGCAACAATTATTGCAACGAGGTAAAACTTTGCGTGAATAATACGTTTAAAGTATGCCACCTTGTGACCAAAAATTGTCTAAATCGAACCAAAACTGTTCAAGCCCCTAAATATATGGACCCCAGTACCTATAGTTGACCTTTTACCGAAAATATCAGTCAATCCACAAAGAAATCTCAAACAAGTATACCATTTGACTTTGCGAGAGTATAAAATGTTCGGTTACATCCGAACTTAGCAATTCCCTATTTGTTTCCAATAGTGCCTTTCTGTGAGGCTCGAAGAACCATGTACAATACTATTGTCTACCCAAATTTATTGGTGAGCACTAACCACCTTTTGTGAGCTTTGATATAAATTACCACTACGAACAACTTGAAGAAAAATGCAGTTGTGATTGTTATGTACTTCGACCGACTTCGCCGTCTGCGTCGTACTCGAAAAAAGGAAGTTGACGTTGCTCCGTTTACAATCGAATTTTGATGTGCGCTCATGCTCGTAGACGACAAGCGAATGATGCCGTGAGGGCGATGATCCTGCCCGTTGTTAGGTGTACAGGTGCCGTGTTAAAGTGTGTTGTGTTGTCCTGGGTTCCCAATGGAACAGTATTCGCCTTTATCGGAGCAACTGCGCCGGGCAAAATCTTGAGCTTAAAACCGTCAAACATTGTGGTAAAGTGGTATATTTTTATATTTATAAAATCGGCGGACACGTCCACATGCGCCCATTTGGGTGAAATTTGACAGAAGCCGTCAGCGAATTTATTTTGCGATAGTGGCACTTTCTAACGGTATGGCTATATATGTATATACATAAGTATATATACGTATCTAACTATTTTCGTTAAATCTATATACATATCTTAAAAATTACCTCTAGGTATCATCAGTATTGGTTTTCGAATAGTTAAATATTCTAATACTATTCATTATACTCACCAAACCAACTACTTTCCTCGGTGTTGAGATGGTAAATATCATTTGGATCTGTTAATTGAGCAAGCGACACAGAAGGTAGAGCCACGGACATGCCCGATGCTACCACACACGTATTTCCAAGGATTACCATCAGCTCCTATAATGGTTTTATTATCGTACGAATTATCAATGTATTTTAATACAATTGAGTTTTTAGTCACCTGACGCAATACTGCTTTTTTGCGTTCGCCTAACGGTTTCGGTGGCTTTATTTTATCGAGACCCTTCACAATTAAAACTGTTTGTGCTGAACTGCCGTTGTGCAATTCAGAGTGATTCGTCATTTCGGGTGTGATGTTTTTATATTATATTGATTGATTTACGTAAATAATTGCAATGCTTATCTGAAATGATATGTTGTAAAATCAGCATATAAATCATCAAGTAAATAATATACATATGTATGTATACATATGTGTGCACTTTAAAAGGGTAATCAAAGGTGTGGGAATGATATAAAACAGTTCGTAATTTGCAATTAAAAAGTAAGGTGGAATAATTTCGTTTGGAGCCGAAATTAAAACACCGATGGGTACTATAGAACTACATACAAACTTCAAAAAAACCACAAAGTTTTTATCTGTCGAGATATCTCCACAAAACTCGGCATGAGTTATTATCAAAAATAACGGTATAATCTCTTACGAAACTTTTTGGATTGGACAGGTATAGCATATAGCTGCCATACAAACTGAACAATCGGACTCAAGTCCCCGTATGGGAAACTTTTGTTTTTGACAAAGCATCCTCACGAAATATGGCATGAATTATTGCACAAAGCAATCTCCGAAGAAAGTGTTCCAATCGGTTCACTATAGCAAATAGCTGTCATACAAACTGATCGATTGAAAACAAGCTCATGTGAGGAACACTTGAACCTGTATAGTATATACAGGGTATTGTAGCTTCGATGCAGCCGAAGTTAACGTTTTTTCTTGTTTGCATATAAATTGAACTTTTAATAGTAGATGCCAAGGCATATATTTTTAGTACCAAATTAATTTTTGATATGACACAAGTGTGATATAAGGTAATCATTAACATATCTTCTATATTAATCAATATACTTACATATGTTAGTGAGGTAAAGTCCAAAGGCAGAACGAAAATTTTGGTAAAGGGGTAAGGAAAGTATGAATCGATTGCAACAATTTTTGGGTCAGAAATATCAGAACCGCGCAGTTAACTATTACAAAGTCAAACATGCTATTAATTACAACATTATCTTGAAAGTGGATATGATTCTAGATTGATTTTCGTCCATTTTGCAGCTGTGTCCAGCGAACAATAACATTGCACAGTCTCAATCGATCCCAAGTGAACTTATTTCGTGGTACCGTAAGATGGTTGGTATTGCAGATGGGCGTAATCGGGCCACTACCACGCCCACAAAACGTCATTAATTTTTTTTTAAGTGGGCGTATATCCTAAACAGCTAAAGCTATAATAACAAAATTCACTGAGAACAAAAGGTTTTAGCACCTCTATCGGCAGAAAATGACTCCCCATATAACGGTACTGTTAAAAACTCCTAAAAACGCGATAAATCAAGCACTAAATACGCCAGAGACATTAAATTATATCTCTGGGATGGTATAACTGTATAAGAACCGCGTTCAAAATTAGTCAGTGGGCGTTGCACCGCCCACTTTTAGGTGAAAACCCATATCTTGGGATCTGCTTAACCGATTTCAACCAAATTCGGTATATAACATTCTTCTCATATTTCTATGTTCTATTTCATATTTATAGTGCGAAAATGGGCGAAATCGGATAACACCGACGCATATTTCCCATATAACACCATTTTAAATTCCAACTGATTCTTTCACTTTCCACTATGCAAACCAAGCAACAATGATTGTATCGGAGTAAAACTTTGCGTGAATAATATGTTTAAAGTGTGCCACCTTGTGACCAAAAATTTTCTAAATCGAATTAAAAATTGTTCAAGCCCCTAAGTACTGAATATGCGGACCCCAGTGCCTACAGTTGACTTTTGACCGAAAATATCGGTCAATGTGTAATATATATAATTGACATTCATTTAATAAAATAAAAAAATGAAACTCTCGATAATAGTACTTGTATGTCATGTCTGTGTTAAAACTGGGTTGAATCGGAATAATACTTCTTTTAATATAAAATTTTGACAACACCTGAAGAAATTTCCCGGGCTTTGATCCTTGCAAGTTGCGAGAGTATAAAATGTTCGGTTACACCCGAACTTAGAACTTCCTTACTTTTATTTATACTATCTTCGTTGCAGCTTTATTTGGCTTGCTTAAGTTGCTTATATATACAACATACATACTCGTACATATGTATGTATGTAATTATGTATGTGACATTACACCTTGTAAGCAAATTTAGTCGAATTTGTTAATTTATGAATGTCATATCTCAACGAGAACCATATAATTATTATAACAAATTACCACCTTTTCAGTTTTTACTTAACATAGATTTGAATTTATTGCTTTTTTAACACTTATCTACAAAACATGTCCTAGGGCTATATGTTTTTTTTATAACTTTTTTACATATAGATGCCACCAGTTATATATTACTAATTTATCAATTTGTATCTTTACCGTATAAGTACGAGCAATTCAAAATTTCCAAATATTCCAACACACTGAACTTTATTTATTTATCGAACACGAAATTGTAAAACAGATTTCTACTCCCGCCAAATACCTTAGCTATTCGATAGTGATTTTCGTAAAGGAAACTTAATTTGTCAGTCGAAGTAAAAATTTGCACTTTTGATGCATACGAGCCGGCTAATATACTGCATTGGCTTTCCTGACGTAAACGAAGTGGGAAGTGCACACGAAGTTCTATTTTCGCTGCTTTTATATTTGTTTTGATTGGAATTCCTACAGCTGATTGAAACAGCTGTTTCTGAACTAACAAACTGTTAGCTGATAATGCAATGCACTTGTGGTAGAGCCATGGACAGCGAAATAGAAACGATGAGCTTAGGTGTTTAAATTTTAATTAGGCAGTGGATAAATTAAATAAATAATTATAATACTCTGAACATGCGTTGGTACAATAACAAAATATTTTCAAAGCTCTAAAAACTTTGTTTAAACCTATTAATTATTAATTAGGAAGTATGAATAATTATAACAAGTAGCAACAACAAGCCTAATTATAATTTACGCACACACTTTATGTACGTATGTATATATTCTTTGAGTTTATAGTATAGACGACGGAATAATGGCGCCTTGTTAAAAAATCTTTAATCGTATGCAAAGTAATGTTCAAATCTTGCATAAAAAATTTTTTAAAATATACCATAGCTCATATTATCCACAGTAACGTGGCAAGTGCTGTAATAGCAAATATATAAATATTTGTATTTATATATGAAGGTACATAAATATATATATGTACATACATATGTATATATATACACGTTATCATTTAACAAACCGAAATTTGAGTAAAATGCAAACAACGTGACGTCTCACAGTGGTTCAAGTCCATTGAAAATGTTAAAATTTTATTTATTTGATTACCACAACTCAAATGACATAATAGAAACATAGTAGCACTGAACACCGAAAAAATACGTAAATGGTTATGCTTCCGTGCATGTATGTATGAATGTTTAAACAATAACAAATATGTTTCGTTTTATATTGTTTCATAACATACATACCAAGAAAAAATCCACTAAGAGCTCATATTTATGTACCACTGTACGAGTATATGATTGAATGAAGTTGCGCAGTCAATTGGTGGTACTTGCAGCTCTCCTAAATTATTGTTCTGCAGTCGTTAATTTATCTTTATCCTACAAAATGACTAGTCCCATACATATTTTTCAAATGTGGACAAGGAATTCCCTTCATAACATCAATTTTGATTAAAGGACAAATGTAACTGAAATAAATATATCGATTAGTTCGATTTTTTATCTGCTTGCACGAGGAAATGCAGGTTGCCCCACTTACATACATATTTATTCTTATCAGCCATGACTTTACACTGCCACTTATATAAATACGTACATACATACATACATTACTGGGTAATCCAAGGAAGTCTGATTTCTAAGTACTAAAGATATCGGAATTGATGTCAAGCCAAGCATATAAATTGGAGACAAAAATTGCACCCACGAATACCTTTCTTTATAAAAAAAAAATCACGCCTATTACAAACATATTGTATATGTTTTGGATATAGTTATTAAATCGTCAATGTGAATTTATTATGTTTACTTGTAATTCGATGAAGTAATTATTTTGAAATAGTACTTCACAATGGATGTACCAGTACATTGAGCTGAAATCTTATTTGGCTGTGCGAAAACGTTTCACCTTTTAGAAAATAATTACTTAAAATATTGTTCGTAGCAGGCGTAACAAAAATAGTAACATATAAAA